AATCCCGAATGATGCTAACTTTGGAAATGAAGAACAACATTCTGATCCATCTTTAGTAATTAATACTGCGGATAATACTACACTTGATTCACCCCGGTCCGATGATGATAATATATCTGAGGACACCCCCCGTATTACTAATGTTTCCAATGCAGGTCAACCACCACCACAGGCAGACCCAGACGGCCCGCAAAATGAAGATAGACTACTATATTTACCCCGTTGATGAGAGGTTGGACTCCCCACACAAACTTACCGCGGCACTCGCGCGATACAGGACTACTAAACCGGAACCAAAAACCTACCAACCTTATCTCCGAAAGTCTATTCAGTTCCATAACAGATATAATAGATCCATTTCGGCTACAGTTGGGATGCCTTCAAAAAACTTCAACTCTTAAATGTTTCTTCTCTCAGCTTTTGATTGTATGCTTTTTCTTATTTGTATTGTTTCCAAAACACGCTTGTAATCTACTTATTATGAATAAAAAACAATAAGTATAAATTAACAATAAAAAATTAAACTTCAAATTTATTTATTTTTACATCAAAATGTTTGACTTTTAAAATGATAACTATTCACAAAAAAAATATTGAGAAAAAAATTAATGTATAATAATAAAATCAAGGTTTTAATTAGGAAAAACTTTGATGGTTGAATATATTGACGGTGCTGGATTGCATTAAAAACTGAAATGACTGACTGAATACGTATAAACTGGTGGGAAATTTAATTTATTGACAGAGTAGGATTGTTGTTAGCCTTATACGGTCTGGCACCTAGGCCACTGCAGGGATTGATTTGGACTGTGTGGATGGGTTGGATACTTGAGTGATGTATAATTCTATTCACAATCGCCAAATTACTATTTATAGTTACATAATTAATTTCTTAATGATAAATTTATTTCAAATATCCAAATTATCCTTCCTTCTATGTTCTACTAATATCCAATTTATGACCACTTATGTTATTATTATACGGAGTATAAGTATACTCCGTAATTATTTCAATGGCTGCTACGATTAGCTTGGGAAGTCCATTATCCATGCCATTTTATTTTACCGGTTCATATTTACCGGAGCATACTAGCTCCTATCTGCAAGGTATGCATGGCTTCCACCACCCTCTTCACCGCCACTTCAACCACCGCTTCTTTCTTACTTCATTCTTCACCATCGCATCGCTATCGACTTCTTCTTTGCTCTCTTCTCATCAACTCCTAAGGTTTGATAGAACTTATGATGGTGTGACATCAAGATTCTAAGGGGGGTTGGGAGCACCTTTGAAGCGGGAATCCTCACCCTCTATTCACTTTTTGTTTTGATAGTCCAGATGTTGGTGATTGCGTTCCCTTAATCCTAGAATATATTGACCATCCAAAACCTCTAGACAGTTAAATCCGGATATTATCACAGTCAGCCTTCGTTGGTACTGGTACCACAGGATGAATCCAGCAGGACTTCCTTTCAACTGAATCCAGAAGAGTCCTCCTACTATGCAAGACTTCCTTTCATCTGTATCCAGAAGGGTCCTCCCACCACGCGAAATCATCCTCTATTCACGGAAGTAGTAGAAGAAATGCGTCAGCCGCCTGCTGGGCACAACTAACTGCAGAGGTGGGGCCTTCAAAAAATAAAAATCCCAAAAAAATTCAAAGAGGTAGAACTTTTTTATTTTAACTCTAATTTTTACAAACGTGTATCAAAATTCATAACTTTTTTTATCTTTCATATGACACCAATATTACATATATAAATTTAAAAAATAAATAAATGAGATTTCATTTGATCGAGATCTTAAAATCTTAAAATTTTCTTAAGTAGATCCAGGTTTTAAAAATTAAGGTTTCATAGTTAATTTTTGTACATCCTCTAGTTTTTTTTTAGAAAAAAATAAGTCTGAATTAACAAAACCAAAGATTAATTCTGAGTGACGGTACCATGGACTCCAACCATGGCCAAATTACGGAATTATAGATGGAGCCCATAACGGGATCAAGCCCTCAATGAGATTAGCCCTTAACGGGATCAGCCCGTGAACGGGATTAATATATTAGCTGCTGGGCCTAACTAAGAATCAGACTCACAACAGGAACCCACAACCAGGCCAGACTGTACAGCAGACCTCAAGCATGGGCGGAGTTCTAGTGAGGTCGAGATATTCCTAGGGCTTACGTGGCAGGCTATCATACGTGTATAGCTATCTGGTAGCAAGCAAGAACAACCGGCAGGAACGTGGACTTAAAGGAACAATCATTACACAACGTCCCAAACATTACAAGAGTCTTATTTGATTAAACGTGTGATTAATAGCATTTATTGTATCAGTTCCCTCCTAGGATACTAGTTTCCACAGTCTATAAATACTCCTTGTAAACTTCCTATGAAGGGACTGAACTCCGGATAATAGAATACGGTCTTATGTTACCATATTTTCATCTGCTCTCGTAGTTGGATTAAACGTCATCACTGAGTTTATTTATTTTTACATCACATTGTTTGCCTATTTATATCATAATCATTCTCAAAAAAGAATTTTGCAAAAAAATGATGTATAATAAAACAAATTAAGTGTTGAATTAAAAAAATGTGGTGAGTGAATATATATTGAAGGTGTTGGGTTGCATGAAAAAATTGAATTGACTGAGTGAATAGATTTATTGACGGGCTGAGTTGCGGTTAACCTAAATACGTCCTATTCTGATTCCGATGCGCTTAGACTATTTAGAGTGTTGTAGGATTATGAGTCCAAACTGGTAAAGATGAGATTTTTGGACTCCTAATTCCATGTAGTAGTAGTAGTAGTAGGCTTATTTTTCCATCATTTGCAATGGAGCCAAAGATTCATTATTTTTTGGCTTGAGATTATGATGGAATAAAGCAAAATGGCTCACTAAACTGTCTGCGCTTCTTTGTTATGGAGCAGCAGTCAGTCCATGCAATTTTGGACGCGATTTTCACTATGTGTCATCCGGAAACAGTCTCTCTATGCTTTAGTACAGAGGTAAGACTGCGTACATCCGATCCCCCCTTACCCCACTGTAGGTGGGAGCCTTTGCGGCACTCGGGTAAATGAAAATGAAAATGAGTAGTAGTAGGCTTATAATGGGTAATAAAAATGGAACAGGAGGTGAAGGAGTTAAATATAGAAGGAGGATGGACTCTCAAGGCTAAAAAATATTGTGGACATGTGTGGAGGTATGTGTCCATCATAATTTTTTTAAAATGTATTATAACTTTTTTATTAATAATCCAAAATTTATAAAAAAATATATATTAAAATTCATGAATTTTTATTATCTTTCATATGACACCAATATGTAATATATAAAATTGATAATTTTTTTGAAGTTCTACCTTTTGAAGTTTCCTGAGCATAAGAACACGAAACACAAATTTTAAATTCATGGAGCTTCAACAATAACCAAATATTCCATAATCGAACTTTACTTGAACTAAATTCATTTTTTTGTTTCATCGAAATGTGTATTTTTACATCGAAATGTGTATTGTTAACAAAAAAAACGTTAAAAAAATTAATGAAATTTATTTATTTTTACATCGAAATGTGTATTTTTTATTTCATAATTATTTAGGGGGGAAAATTAGAAGGAAAACATTACTTATAATAATTTAGTTAATGTTTTATTAAATTGATATGTAAAAAATATGATGGGTGTATTTTATTGACGGTGCTGGAATGCATGAAAATATGAGTCAAAACTTTATTTTCATATGAACTGAGTCCATTTTTGACATTTTGGTCTCCACGCCACTCTTTTTTTAAACCCTGGTCGGTAAACCACCAATCGGTGGGATAAATAACGGGGAACATGTAGCGTGTTTTATTGAGAAAAATGAAATAATACAGAAAGAAAGGGAAACCAGACCAAAACCTCCTCAGGAAGGCATACCTTCCTAAAAAACACATGACACAAATAAGATATAAATAAAAGATCTAATAAAACCCCCTGAATTGTTTTTGCTTCTGTTTGATTGAATTTATTGGGAGGTTTTGGTCTGGTCTTCCTCTCTTGTGTAATTTTCCCAATTTTTAATAAAATCTGGTAAATGTTTCGCGACATTTGCCCCACTGGTTTTAGTGGTTTGCCTTCCGGCGTAAAAAAGGGGGACATAAACCTTACCCAAAATATAATAGTACACAACAGGAACCCACATTTATAACTGAAAATGCATAGAATTAGGTACATAGAACAGAAAATTATAACCGAAAAAAAGACAAACCAATTTTGTCTGCGAACTGAATTAGGTAAATCACGGACCAAATAAATAATCTGAAAATCAACATAGAAGCATCTCGATAAAAAATGAGCGGTGCAATTAGCTTCCCTAAGAATAGGCCTCCACAGCACACCACACCACACCAAATGGTGTTAGCGAAAAATGCATGGTACCGGTGGGCGTAGCTCAACTGGTAGCAAGGGAGTGTCACAAGGGTTAGGTCCCGAGTTCGAATCCCGCCAACTGCGATGAGGGATTATTATACTAAAAATGCATAGCGTCTCTGCAAGTATCGGGAACAGAACCTCACTCTCTATCTGTCAGATCGGAATTATAATCCAATTTACATCCTCTCAAAATAACGTTCTATGGAAGTTGGGAGCTCAAGGATGGAGTGTCATCTTTTTTTTTAACGAAAAATGCATGGTGAGTCCGAATTAGATAGGAGTATGATGTAGATGTACATGACAGCACACCCTAACCTGTTTTGTTGACCAGTCCACAAAGTTCAAGCGGCGTTTGTCCATTAAGCATTGAGGTTAGAACATAAGATCCTGACCGAATGTACTCTTGATTGCAATCACATGCCGCAACAAAATCTCCCGCTAGTGTTGACCGACTTTATTCAAATACGGAGTAATAATTATGCCCTGACTTATTGCTATTTTATGACTTTTTAAATAGGGTTGGAGGATTATTAATTATCAAAAAATAAGTATGATGAGACATTCTTTATGATTTTTTTTTAGGATTCTCAAGCACATGTGTATGTTGTGGAGGGAATTTTTGATCAAAAATGCTATAGGTACCCTAATCCTATCCCAATTTGTACCCTATATAAAAGCCTTCATATTTTTACCATTTTTTACCTCTCCAAACATCTCTCGTTCCACACCCTCTCTTTGTTTCTCCCATCCGTCCCTTGCTATTCTCTCACCTCATTCTCATATTTTTTTCTCTTTTCATTTCAAGAGCTCTCATCTCCATTTTTGAAAGTTTCAAGACCTCCCCATCTAGTTTTCTCTAAGGTAACCATCCCTTCTCAAATCATGAGGTATGTACTCTATTTCTGATTTTTCCTCATGTGCATTTTTTTCTTCCTTTTTTCGATTTTTATGTATATTATGTATGAATGTATGATATAAAAGTGAATAATTGATTAGTTGTTTCATTGTAAATCATTTAGAGGTGTTAATTAATTAAAATTTTAGTGTAATTTCTCTAGTTCATTTTATGCCCATAACATGTTTGTAGAAATTACTCAATGAATTTTTTGTTGAAATTCAAGACTTTTTTTCATTTTTTGTACCTCAGTGTTTATTGAGTATTTTTATGGATTTCCAATTTAATATGATGGATTTCCAAGCCTTTTGGGACTAAGGCTTAGATGTTGTTGTTGTTGTAGTAATTTTTTGTTATTTGTTTGTATTTTGTTTGGCGGACAGACAATTTAGAACTGCAGTGTCTGTCTAGCCTAAAGTGAACACGATTTTGTCTTAAAGTCTGGGTCAATTAACTACTCTCTGCCTTACAGCTAGACAAATTTTGTCTGTGTCAGACATTAGTAGTGTGGGCCAATTAACTACTCTCTGTCTTACAGCCAGACAAATTTTGTCTGTGCCAGACATTAGTAGTCTGGGCCAATTAACTACTCTCTATCTTACAACCAGACAAATTTTGTTTGGGCCAGACATTAGTAGTCTGAGCCAATCATTAACTACTCTTTGTCTTACAGCCAGACAAATTTTGTCTAGGCCAGACATTAGTAATCTAGGCCAATTAACTACTCTCTGTCTTACAGCCATACAAATTTTGTCTGGGCCAGACATTAGTAGTCTAGGTCAATTAACTACTCTCTGTCTCACAGCCAGACAAAAGTTGGCTATGCCAGACAATAGTTGTCTCTTCCAGACTAATTGATTATGTCTCACATATGTTATTTGTACCAAATATGTGTTCTGACTACGTGTTGTGTATTAATCGTAGGTATTCATTTCAAGCTGACGAATGGCTTAAAATGTAAGGCTGAAAAAGAGTTCCAAGCGGACACTAATTCATTTAAAAAAATGATACCATGTGTGACTTCTTTTGCAATGGAGAAACAAATGCAAGGATTATATACACTAGTCTTGAAGAATGTTGAAGTATAGAGTGTTGGGAAAATGTATTTTTTGAACATGTATTTTTTTCATATTACACTTGGGAAAATGTGTTGAATATTGTACAATGTTACATGTTCAATGTTGAACAATTGGATTCATTTTTTTTGAATATGTGTAAGTTATTGCAAACATTATATGTACAATTATCCATTTTTTTCATCTTTTTTTTTGTTTTATGCCTTTTATGTTGTTCATAAGCTGCTTTCTGCAGCTTTGCTTGTAGGGTTCTTCTAGATTTGCACATTTAGTACCCTCTGCCTAAGTTATCAACACACATTTTCGTGGTACATCACAGTTCAGATTTTTACTCTACTCATCCCCAAAAATATAAATTTTCACCTTATCTAGTCAAATTATCAGTCCATTGAGAAATGGAGTACTAAAAGGTAACATATATGCATATGGTCATGAACCCCTTGCAGGATTTAACCATGCATTTTCCGAGAATTGAACCCGAATCTACCATCTTGTTAGGCTCTATTAGCTAGAAACAAAAAAACTAAATAAAGATGTGATCTTTTGATGTTATTGTGCAGGTGACAATCTACCCAAGATTTTGAGTCCCTTCCATCATTCACACAGACCTTCTAACTCAACATTTAAGCATCATTTTAAGAAATGGATGCACAGATTTGCATTTCCACCATCACATGCATCCTCTGGCTACAATCAAGGAAGACATGAATTTAACAAGTTTGCTCCTGAGCCTAGCTGGCAAGGTTAACCATTTACTCACTCTCTTGTTAAAACAACTGTACATCAATTAAAAACACTTTGTACACACAATTTCTTTATATTAAATTAATAAAGTAAAACATAGTGAAATGTGTAAGTTACACTCTCCATGAGCACAATATCCAAGCAAATTCACCATATTTCTGTGTTGGTCACAAGCCAATACTTTGGCCTCCATCTGAAACTCTTTTTTTCCTGTTGTGAGCTCTGTGAGTCTGTGACAGCTTCTTCACAGCTACTTCTTCGTAGAAGATAAGGCATATTGCGTTTTTCAGGAACTTGGAGAACTTTTATGAACCAATCCCTAAACCTAAGAGCAACCAAACATATATGCACTTCACATAATACACCAAACAACAATATGCACAATTCAAAGTTGAAAATTATACTAGTAATACAAAATCCGAAATCCTTAAAACATAAGATGCTATAAACAAAAAAAATCATTGAAACATTTCAACAAACGTGTTATGGGCATATTAATGACATAGAATAGTTTGACTATAATTTTAAGAATAAACATCACAAATCCATGGCAATAACACAAAATAATCAGCTGATGGAGTATATGGGTCTGAGCCCCCGGACCCACATACTCGGGAGAACAGAAAGCACAAGACAACAGAGTGGCGCCCTCGTCGGCCAAGACGCCCCCGTCGGCCGAAAAGGGCCAACTCAGATTATGGTCCCGAGCCCAAGGAATCCGGGTGCCCTCGTCGGCCGTGCCCTCGTCGGCCACGAAGACCTCCCAGAATCGGATTTTATACTTGTTCATTTATACAGCCCATTAGTGGCTTTGTATTCGGCCCAATAGCGGTCCAGTTGTAAATGGGCCTCCCAAGCCCAAGGCTTGGGAGCCCAACCCTAATTTTCTCTATAAATACTCCCCTTTGGAGTAGTTATAGGGGTTACAAATTCATTCTATTGAAGCATATTACTGCACTTCTCTCTCTAGCTCTCACTTCTCTCTAGATATACTCTATCATTTGGTGCTCTCGTTGAGAGCTAGAACAATCAAGTTAGCAACCTTCGTCGCTACCAAGCACAGCTAACCACTGATCATGGGGAGAACTAAGTCAAACCGCAACCTCGTCAGCAAAGCCATCCCTGAGGACCAAGAGCCCAGGGAGCACGATGAGGACGCCACGGCCGACCAGGCCGGCGGAGGGGACCTCTTCCAGGAGGCCTTCAACCTCACGATGGACCTCCGCAACCAACTCAACGGCGGAGTCCCCGACGCCCGCCTCGGCCTGGAAAAGAAACGAGCTGAGAAGACGGACCACGCCCCGGCCCAGCCTATGGCCGCGGCCTCTCCGTCCGTGGACCCACAGGTCCAGGCCGCGCTGTCGGTCATCATCGCCAGCCTGGCCCAGAACCCCACCGTCCTCAGCGCACTCTTGCCAAGGATCGGGGGAAACGTCACTCCACCTCCTCATCCCCAACCGTTGGCCGTCCAGATAGGCAACAATGAGGGGGTTATGGCCCAGGACACGGCGTCGTCCCACTCCCACCCTGCTTCCCCTCTTCAGCCCGAGCAGACCCCCGCGCGTGGAAAAGCCTCTGCCTTCAATAGGCTAGGTGACACGCGCCGTCGTCCGGTTTCGGAGAGGATGGCGGGACGGATTGGTGATCCTCGTCCTGGCTCGCCAAGGGAAAGCTTGGGGTCTGTGTCCCGGACAGCGGACCAGCCCCGCCCGGACAAGGGCAAGGGGAAGTTGCACGAGGATGACGTGCGTCACCAGATCAACGCGGCTCACAACGAGCGCCTGAGGAACCAGCCGGGCGCCGCTGCGGCCGACAGGGACCCCCGGGACGAGGTCATCGCCCAGCTGGAAAGGAGGCTGGCTCAGATGGAGGCCAAGCAGTCGGCCAACATCCCTACGGCCGGCGCCTCCAACGACCCCGGCCTCAACGCGCTCATGAACAAAGTTAGCGCCCTGGAGAGGGAGCTGGCCGAAGGGCGAGGTGACCCCATCATCCAGGTCAGGACCAGGACCCCTTTCACCAACAGGGTCCTCTCGGCCCCCATCCCTGAGAAGTACAGGGGGAACGCCATCAAGTCCTACGATGGCCGATCAGATCAACATGCTGATGGTGAACGCGTCCGACGAATACCTCTGGCGTTGGTTCCTCTCTACTCTCGAGGGGCCAGCGTACGAGTGGTTCAACGGGCTCCCAGAAGGAAGCATCGACTCATGGCAGGATCTCGCCCAGCGCTTCCTCACTAACTTTGCCGGGAGGAAGCGTGCCAAGAAGTATTTCACCCACCTCCTCTCCGTCAAGCAGCAGCACGAGGAGTCCCTCCGGTCATTCATCGATCGGTGGACGAGGGAGACCGAGGAGGTTGAGGGGGCCGATGAGCGCACCCTCCTCGCCTTGTACCAGGGAGCCCTCCGCAGCTCCCCGTACGCTAGGAGCCTCATCACCGACCCCCCGAGGTCGTACGCCAAGGTGCTCCAGCGCGGAGGCTTGTATGCCGACGCCGACGAGCTCCACAATCACAAGAGAGAAGGGGGCCATCCCCCCAAGAGGACAAATCCTTCGCCGGCCCCGGGTCCGTCCCCGGCCGGCCAGGGTGCCTAGGGCCGTCACGGCTCTGGTGGACAGAGTAAGAAAGACCGCCACTGGCGGCCGAGGTTGGAACGGCCGGGGGTAACCCTCACCCACCCGGTCGGCACCATCCTCGATTATGCCGAGAAGCACGGCCTCATCGAGCAGGCTCCTCGGCCGGCCGAGGAGATCCTTGCCATCCAGCAGGGCGGCACGTACTGCCGGTTCCACAAGAACTCGTCACACAACACCGACGATTGCATCACACTGAAAAAGGCCATCGAGCGCCTTATTCGCCAGGACGAAGCGGGCACTCATCACACCCACGAAAGGATCAAGCAATCAAGAAACAACCTCTACTTGCCACAACATCTCGGAAGGCCGACGCCGGCACTGGAACCAAGGCTGTTGTTTAAGCGCAAGTCCTTTAGGAATTCGTTCAAGTGTTTACCAAACACTTGAAAAAATATTGGGAAATAGAGGGTTCCTCAACAAGGAACCATGGCTGGCCGACGAAGGTAGGACCATCTCCTTGGAAAGCCATTCCTTATCCAGCACCCTCATCGGCCACAAGCCAGACCTTGGCCGACAGCGGCACCGCAAAGAAAGTAAATGCCTAACCTTTATACTTAGAAAATTATCTAAGTACTCACATGAAGGTACTCTAGCCGAAGTGGGTACCAGTATACTCCAAGGCCGTTATCTACCCACACCTCTGCATGTGTACTTAGAAAAATTCTAAGTTCAAAAAGCTTAAGGTTAAGGTGCCCTTATCGGCCACAACACAAAGGATACAGGCCGACAACGACACGGGTTCAAACACTTGGGGAAATCTCTCAGAGCATTTGTCAACAATGACAAACCCAATGACAGGACGACGAGAACACTCAGCCACTTGAAATTAGACACTTGAAAAAAATTCTAACAAAAGGGAAGAAATCCAACGCCTGGACGGAGCGGACACCACGGTCAAGACCGAAGGGAAAACACCTAAGTGAATCCAAAAAACACTTAGGAAATTTTTGAAAAAATCCTAAGTGTTATGATAGCAAAGGAACACCGGTCAGGCCGACAAAGCCTCCAGGCCGGAAAGAAAGCAACTTCGTGGATCCAAAAACACTTAGGAAATTTTTGAAAAAATTATAAGTGTTATGGTAGCCAAGAACCACCGGTCAAGCCGACAAGGCCACCATGCCACAAGGAAGCAAATGTAAAAACCCAAAAACACTTAGGAAATTTTTCGAAAGAATCCTAAGTGTTATGATACTACATCAACACGGTCAGGCCGACCAAGCCACCAGACCGGGAAGAAGGCATCCAAGTGAACCCAAAACACTTAGGAAAATTTCTAAAAAAATCCTAAGTGTTATGATAGTAAAGCAAAGATGAATAGGCCGACCAGGCAACCGGACAGGGAGGCCGACCTCACGGACGTAACGGACACTCGCGGGTGACCCAAGTTATGACCTTGACACTTAGACAAATTTCAGAATTGAAATAACAAATAGCAAACAAGCATGAAAGGAATTCAAAGCCGATCAGGACAGCAAAATATTTTCATATATATTAAATTCAGTACAAAGGTGGGCTCTTCGGCCGTTACATCATTTGGGCAAAAATGAAAACTAACTACAAAGGAGTAGCCGATCAAGCCTCTGGAGCACCTCCATCTGCGGCTGGCTTTTCGGCCTCGTCTGCTCCCTCTTCGGCCTCAGCCTCCTGGCCGGCGGTGGCTGCAGCACTTGTGGCATCGTCCAAAAAATCAAACTCGGTGTAATCCGGCTCGCCAAGGCCCGAGCTTTCAATTGGGGACTCCCGCTCCGACAACGGAAGCTTTGCCTGCTCTTCTGGATCCTTCATCAGCTTCGGCAGCTTCAGGTTCCGTCTAGCCCACCCAGACGTATAGTTCATGGCTTTCAAAGCACGAGAGAGCCGCCGACACAGGAGCCTTTGCATCCGCTCCTGGCCAAGGTTATAATACACGGACATCTCTCGGCTGAAATACTCCTGGCCGGCGGGGGAGTTCATCCCCCAACTCTCAAGCCTGGCGGCCACCACCTCGTAGCACTAGGGGAGCCTCTCATCGGCCTTCCACCCCTCGGCCAGGAATTTCTCGACGGCCTCGTCAGCAGCCCTCACAACGGCGGCCTCGGCCTCCGCCTTCGCCTTGACGGCCTCCTCGCTCTTGCGCCTCTCGGCCTCCAGGGCCCTTTGGGACTCCTCAAGCTCCCTTTTGCTCTCCTCGAGCTTGGCCAGGGCATCGTCCCTGGCTGCGGCGGCTTCATCGGCCTTGGCCTGCAACGCCCTGGCATCCTCCCAGAGCCGGTCCAGGCAAGCAACCGCCTCGTCGGCCGAGGCGGCCTTCTGCTCCAGCTCCTTCAAGCGAGCTATCTCTCGGTATTGCCTCTTGTGGCTCTCCATTAGCATGAAGGCACTCTGCAGAAACAAGGGAAACAAAAGTCAGGCAAATGGTTTTACACAGACGACGAGAAAGACAACGCATAAGGAAGGTAACTTACTTGGACGAGGAGGTCCATGCCGCCCTCGTAGATATTCACATCCACGAGCTTCCTCAGGTAAGCCCGATCCTTGGCGGGCATAGCCTGTGCCAGGACGTCGTGGCCAAGGACGACGTCATCGAAGACACCCCCGCCGACGGGGTATTCTACCATCTTCTGGTAGGTGGCACCTGCAATCTCTTTGCCGGCCCTTTTCGTCCGTGGCTCCTGACGAGAGGCAGTGATGGAGCAGCATCACCAGCAGCAGTAAGGTCCACGACAGGACCACTATCGTCCGCGCTGGGGACAGCGAGAGTACCGCCCTCAGTAGCCGGAGAAGGGGAAGGAGCCCTCTTTGTCTTCTTCGAGACGCTCAGGCCGGCCTCTGTTAACTTTTTCTGGCCGTCAGTGGCCGGCCTTTTCTTCTTCGATGGAGCAAGCTTTGGGGCCGCATCAGCAGTAGCCCCGCTCCCACCGGCCGCGGCACGTCTGGCCGCCTCGGCCGCCTTAGCAGCCAGCTCCTCGGCCGCTTTGGCCTTGGCAATAGCCATTATGGAACGTCGGTCCATGGCAAAATCTACAAAGGAAAAACACAACGGATTAGTAAGGCGAAGGACAAAAACATAAAAACAGAAAGCCGAAGAAATAATTACCATCGGCCTCAGCAGGGATGCCCAAATCCGGGCCGTCGGCCTCTTCAAATGTGGTGGTCATCCTCGGCCAGAGTTGGAGGCCATCCTCCTTATCTCCATACAGGTGGTATCTGAAGAAGCCGAGGGCGGTCATCTTGTATTCAGTAACGTAATCCTTCACGCTCCTCGGCCCCCCTTCCAGGAAAGCCTCCACCTGAGCGTCCAAGATAGAGCTCTTCGGCGGGTCATGGAGATTGAACCTCCCGGTATGGCCGAGAGAGGGGAACTCGGTGCCACTCTCACCAATGGACACAAACACGAACTTGCTCTTCCACCCATGAATGGACGTAGGCAAATCCGTGAAGCTCCTCTTCTTCGGCAGCTGTTGAAGAGTAGCATAGGCCGCACAGTTCTTGTGGCTTCCTCGGCCGATCTGATACAAATTCATGAATAAGGCCGTTGTCGGCCTGTAGCCCAGCTCCTCACACCGAAGTAAAAAGCCCACCATCAAGGAATAACTGTTCGGCGTCAGCAAAGCCGGAGGAAGCCCCACCATGTCCAGATACTCAATGATGAAAGGGTGAAGGGGGAACCTCAACCCCTTAGCGAAACTCATCGGGTATACTCCAAAGTATCCCAGTGGCGGAAGTAGAACATGGTCCGTCGGCCTGGGTGCCCTAACCCGCCCGAACGGCCCCACGTACATCTGGGCGACAAGATAGTCGGCCGCACTGCTCTCCGGCTTGATCAGGAATATGTTGGTGAGGTCCAGATAGGAGAGGCCCGGCCCATTCTTCGGCCTCCTCACCCTCTTCGGCTTAGCTGCTCCCTTCACGACAGACACCGGCCTCGGGCACGGAATGACAGCAGAAGTGGACGCCCTGTCCACCACTCGGGACGCACCTACGTCCTCACCCTTTGAAGAGGAGGCGGACTCCTCGTCCTCGCCTTCCTCGTCCACCGGCTCTCCGGATTTGTAGGGACTTAAACGCTCTATCTCCTCTTCGAACTCTTCGAGCACCTCGTAGTCAAGCGACCTCGTGGAGGACTGGTCGTCGTAGGGGTAGTAGTCTTCGTTCAAGCTCTTCATAACCACTACTACGGGCCTAAGGAGACTAACTTAAGATCTAAGGGTGTTCAAACGCCTAACACTAGATCAACAACCTAGGAAGCAAAGTATGAAAAGTGAGGAAGATCGCGATGAACACTAACCTTGAACAATGAAGAACACGAAGAACAGGCTTGGGAGTTTATCTCTCTAGAAAATCGGCCAGCACTTCGACAAATTCAGAATGCAAATACGTTTTCTCGTCGGAGGGGGAGGGGTATTTATAGAACCCCCCACCCAACGGTCACTACACGTGGCACCCCCCCAATGGCCACGCCAACGGCCACCAATGGGGGGCGACCACGTCACCAACGGGCCAAACTCAATATCAACAGCCCACTGGCAGGACGGACTCTACGGCCTACACATGCTCACCGGCTTTACAAATGCCAGCAAGCGCCCACTACGTCCCACTTGCTCGCCAAGATCACAACTGCCAAACAATAAGGAGACGGCAACGGCCAGGAACGTAACGGCCACAAGATCAAAGGACCCAAGAGCCCAAAAGCCATCGGCTCCTCGCAATAACCCTTGATGATAACTCTCTACAAGCGATCTGCGCACAAGGGTTCTCCCACAGGGTTACCTTGGCCAGAAAATCGCCATGAGGGTTGGATTCAGGGGGACTACGGCGAGACCGCTTCGGCCGGGGACTCAAGCAACTCCTTCACCCCTCACACTCTTCGGCCTGAAGCAGTGGGGGACTGGGGGACTACACCGGCCTCAACAAAACAAAAGAGAATGCAAACAAGGTAACCACAAAGCATGGCCACATCATCTACACAACACAATGGAACCTCATCGGCCAAAGGCCCATAACGTCATTAGCGACGGCCAACAAGCCACTAGAGGCAAGGACACTCATCGTCCTCCGCCAACAATTAATCTTGACGGGCCATTCGGCCAAGAACACGAAGGCCAACCAACAACGGCCAAAAGGAGTGCGCAAACACCCTCATCGGCCACCCAAAGGAAAGGACGCCATCGTCCTCAAAGCAAGGAATAACTTCAGTGGCCTCATCGGCCCAAACACAAACTTCAACCATCAACGCCCAAGCAAAACGTGCCTTTCAACGGCCACCATTGAAAGAAGGACACTCATCGTCCAAGAACAAAGACATCAAGTAAACAACGGCCTCCCTGTCCACAACGAGGAACAGATAACGGCCAAGGGCAACAAAGCATAGGATTCTACTCTCCTTCACTTCGTCTACGTCTCAGCTTAGAGAGTGGGGGACTCCTGATGGAGTATATGGGTCTGAGCCCCCGGACCCACATACTCGGGAGAACAGAAAGCACAAGACAACAGAGTGGCGCCCTCGTCGGCCAAGACGCCCCCGTCGGCCGAAAAGGGCCAACTCAGATTATGGTCCCGAGCCCAAGGAACCCGGGTGCCCTCGTCGGCCGTGCCCTCGTCGGCCGTGCCCTCGTCGGCCACGCCCTCGTCGGCCACGAAGACCTCCCAGAATCATATTTTATACTTGTTCATTTATACAGCCCATTAGTGGCTTTGTATTCGGCCCAATAGCGGTCCAGTTGTAAATGGGCCTCCCAAGCCCAAGGCTTGGGAGCCCAACCCTAATTTTCTCTATAAATACTCCCCTTGGGAGTAGTTATAGGGGTTACAAATTCATTCTATTGAAGCATATTACTGCACTTCTCTCTCTAGCTCTCACTTCTCTCTAGATATACTCTATCATCAGCCATTCAACATTACAAGATATATAGAGTATTACACATGAAATAAAAAATAAATAACAAAAAATGAAGAAAGATGAAAAAAGTGAGAAAGCAGCATATACTAGGAGGGAAATGTGCAGACAAGAGTGGTAGCAGAGATGGAAGAGGCTTACTGTAGCATGTAGGGGTCTGTAGCTCAACTCCATTGAAGAGACTTGCAAATGATGTCCCAAGGATGACCTCCTTTCGTTGGAGCACTGTAGCTCTCAGTTCAAACGAAAAAAGGGAGGGTGAGATGATGGGAAGGTGAGACGAGAGGAGGTGTTGGCCGGTGTCATCGCGGGGATGCTCGGTTCTGGGCTGTTCGGTTTTGGGTGGTTGGACGTTGCACGGGAGTAAGCCGGGAGTGAGGGGAAGGAGTTTTGGAAGGAAGAGAGTACGGGGCAGGGGAGTAAGCGTGTAAAAAATTGAAAGGGGGAAGAGAGTGAGGTAAAAATGGGGGAGGGTTTTTATATGGTGTGCAAATGAGGTAAAAGATGGGAGTACCTATAGCATTTTTTATTTTTGATAAGACTCTTAATATTCAAGCAAATTTCTTTTAGAAATTGCTCTAAATAGAAGCAAAAACCTTTTGAAATTACAAAATAGGAGTATCATGTTTTTTATTACATGAATAGAAGTAATCTGCCAAATTTGGAAAAAAATGTCATGTTTTAAAGCCTAGTGGTGGATAGTCTACCCGGGGGTATATATCCGAAGAGTTATTACGGGGAATAATTTAGAGAGAAGTCAGAGCAAGTGAATAGAAGTAGAGAGAGAGTGTATTCAGTGTGTTATCACTTTTTAGCGTGGTTACAAATGAGGAAATGGGGTGCTATTTATAGCAGCAATAAATGCCGGGCAAGGACACGTGTCAAGCGCTCATTGGCCGAGGGGTCACCTCAACTGGTTGGCGCTGGCAGCCGCATGTGGCCGCATTTAATGCGGCTGTTGGATGGGACGTCTGTGCAGAGTACGGTGATCTGTACGCATGTGAGGCGGATATCTTGTCGAGTGAGAGGCCTTCGGCTATAGAGCAGTAGCCGAGGGCTCTTCCTCCCGATGGCACCCCTGGTGCCGAGGGCTCACAGTGCCGAGGGCTGCTGTTTTAGCCGTTTTCTCCCAGTTTCTTAGTTTGCCTGAGAAACCCGTTCTGTGAGAATTTGGAGCCTTCGGCCAGGGGGCCGAAGGCACCCCTGCGCGTTGTGCAGACTGCTTGGTACTCCGGGCGCTGTGAATTGGGCCTGTTGGGCCTGTTGGGCCTTTGATGGAGTAGTAGGAGTCTGTGGGCCGGGGGTTCCCAGGCCATATACTCCATCAGGAGTCCCTCACTCCTTTTGCCGAAAGGTACTTGAGGGAAAAGGAGTAATTTGTGCTTGCCTTTTGATGTTGTCCTGTCGTGATCCCTGAAGTTGGTGAGGAGTTGTTGCTTTTATGTCCCTGCCGAAGGCAGTCCCTCAGTTACCCACATGTCGGGACTTGAGGGCTTGCTTTGTTGGTTGTTGGAATTTCACAGATTTTGTAATTTAATGATCTTCCCGAAGGGGTCCTCCAGTCCCCCACTCCTTGAGGCACTTGTAAAGTGGTGAAAAGGAGTAAAGTAGTTACGTTGCTGTTGTGGGCCGAAGGCTGACGCTTTTCGTTTCATTTTGGGGGGATGCCTCGTTAAAAACCTCATTAGGAAAAAACCCTTTGGGAAAAAATCCTAATGAGGGAAAAAGAGTGCACCGAATTCCCCCAATGATGAATCGAAAATGTCAAAC